AAACCAACCCCACCCATCCCACCCCCGGGGAGGACATCCATCACAGAGTAATCTCGTGCGTGGGAAATTATCGTCTCCTACCCCTAACCCTGCAGGAGATGGGATCTCCATTTATTCGTCCCTATCCGAGAAGACTAGAATATCTAACAATTTCTTGATGTTATAGAAAGGTAGCATATTCTTCTCAATTATTTTAAGACCTTGAGTGTTGGTCCGGCCGGGGCTCGATACCTCGACCTCCCGCACAACAGTCGAGCGCTCTATCCAATCAATCGATTTGTTTTATAGGTAAAAATAGACGATGAAAGATTACATGTGGCTACTGGTATATCACAATTTTTGCAGCATTGAAAAGAACTAGAGGTTCTATAATGACGCTAGAAGGTGGTGTCGTGGAATTCGAATATTTGTTTCACATGCAAAACAGAAAAACAGTCGCATCCCACATATCAATGAGTGCCCTGTTTACAGGAGAAAGAGAATTAAAAAATATATGGTCTAATTGACATTCAACCAGTTATTAATTGGTAACAAAAAGTTATCATAACTTTGTCTTTCTAGTTCTGGCATGAAAGCAATGTCATTTTTGTTAGAAACCAAATTGGTCTTACATTACTGATTGCTTGTTTGTGCTTTCGTTAAGGTGGCGAGCCCTATCCGGGAATTCAGGCACGCGACATCTCAAGGTTACTAGAGAAAGGATTTAGAATGCGGCGCCCAAAACATCTGGATAAGGAACTGTAAGTACAAATATAATCCATACTCATTGCAAGATTTGAAAAGTATTACTTTCCTAGATTGTTCAGACTTAATTTCCTTCCTGTCGGTTGATTTTGAAAAGCTTATTAAGAATTTTAGACTATCGGATAAAGGGCAGGTTCTAAGAGACCGTTTTATAACATAAAAGCGCGCACTATGATTGATCAATTCAGTGTCCACCATTTGCCCATAGGTGTACGCTGCTAAAGTGAGCAAATACAAAGACTAGTTTCCACGGGCTTGTTTTTCCTGGTCACGTTAGATTTCAGTGTTGAACAGGAGGGAATTATTTTGCTACAATGTATCAATGTCATGGTATAAAACAGATGGTAAACACCACAGTGTGCACTATTGTGTTATGGGGGAGGTTTGCTAAGCACCTAAGAAGCTAGAGTCGCTTGCGCTACTCTTACGCTGTTTTCGTGCTTAGAGACCTCTGGCGTGCATCCATAACTCAATAATTTACGCCGTGGTGTTTACCATTTGTTGAATAGGTACCATGAGAAACGCATTGAAATTTGCCGAATTATTCTCTTTATTGCCTTGAAAAATCTTCTTTTTTACGCTACCGAAATTTGGGAGCCTGCATGCATGTACCAAAAGCATGAGCGGAATTCTTATTTGTTGTGTTACTCTTAACGGAAGTTGCAGTTGCTCAGGAATTCTATAACCGGTAGCATGGTATTCATTATGTAATACTTATGTACAGACCTTCCGCGTTTTCGTGTTTCAGAAATTCAGTCATGTTTTCTTGTTGGAACGAAGATCCTAAAAAGCGACCAACATTTGGGAATTTGCAAGAGGCCTTAGAGAAAATTGAAAAAGAACAAACGGTATTGAATAAAATTTTGTCGTAAACAAAACTAGAACGTTCAGTCGTGATGACTGGAATAATTCAGGCGCGAAACTTGCATAATTAGAGAAAGAAATAACTTGCATAATTTAATAACTTGCATAATTAATTTAATAACTTGCATAATTAATTTAATATCTTGCATAATTAGAGAAAGACGGTAAACTTCAGTTGGCAGTAAACAATTTAGAGGCAGCATGGCCGAGAACATTATGAGAGGAGAGAGTGGGAAAGGATAATGAATCATTTACCATAGTAAATTAATTTTTTAACATAAGAAGGCTCAAAATATGCCACTTACCTTCCAAAATATTCCAACCGTTGGATGTTGTACTTAGTTGTCAGTAACACGATAAATTACGAATTTGGTGGATTTGTATTAGAGTTTGCATTGATAACAAAACGTATCATTATCCTACCAACATGACTTTTGCACAGGTGGACGACTCTCACAATCAAAGATGGCTACGATTCCCATTAAGATAATACTCTCTCGCTTTCCATTGCCTTTCCAATTTTATCCTCTCTGAAAAAAACCGTGTTGTTTATTTTCGTTACAGGGTTATATGAACCTTCAGTCCTTTGCTGACTTCTCATATGTCAATATTTGCGATGCAAGAAAGGTCAAAGAAGAGTCCATTCTTTAGAGGCCGTTAAATGAAATACATCTGGATGCAATGGCCTGTTTGCAGATTTTTATTGTTATTCCAGGAAGACTCCATCTTTTAGAGACCTTAAAATGAAATATCTATTGATTCAGTGACCTATAAAAAATGACGGCCACTCTCTTGATTATGACGTCCTATGTTCTTTGCCAGTTATAGACTCGTTAATATTTTCATCTTACAAAGATCACTTTCTTTCTGTAAAGTTTTATTCACCAGCCAAGAAATCAAGAGCTGAGACTCTACGTTTTGCTTAAGTTGCAGTCCACTACAATTTTTTTCACCAGGAGTTTCTTCGCGATTTGTGCACCTGAATATTTTAAGTACAATTTTTATAATCCGTGTTCATCCTCTTTATCCCTAACCATTCCGTTTCCTGCATGGTTTATACTTTATATTTTTTTGTTTATCTATCTTATTGAAATAACATTTTTTGGTTGCATTAACATGCACCATCATAGAGGGCTAAAACTGTAATTTGAAACAATCCTTGACTATATCCCAGGCTCCATCCCCAACCAATCCTTCCCCTTCCCTTCTTGGTTTATTTTTCGTATTTAGTCATTTTTTTTCTATCTTACTGAACCGATATTTTGTGATTTCCTTCACGCTAAAATATCTTTTGGTTTTTTTCATGTCTAAGATGTTTCAGTTCCGAGTCGCAACTGACCCCTACAAAATTGCCGCGAGACATAATTTCTGACGCTTTTGTGCTCACTTGATACTTACTATCCATCAGGGTTTTGTTCAACCCTGACTGAAATAGCTTGCCAGTACCATTTTTTATCCTCCGTAAGTTTTTATCAAGCAAATTTGTAATTAAAACTTTGTTGGAAGAATCACTTTCCTGACTAAAGCCATGAGTCTCAGCCAAAATGATTAAATAAAAAAGTGTGGTTTGGAAATTTTAAGATTTGAATTTCAATTTGAGCCCATGGTATTTTCATATTGGTCGGTAGTGGTTCGCTTATTTTTTCGTTTTTAGATGCACTTTTATGAAAATACTGTAGGGAGGGGGGACGAGGGGTAGAGAGAGGGGGTGAGGGGGGTAGAGAGGGGAAGGTTGTATTGAGGGACAGAAGGGTTCATCTAAAATACCGGTTTAAAACTGTTCACCCAAAAGACCACAAATAACGCGACCTTTCGACTTAGGTAAACAAATCCTGTCATATTTGCCACATTAGTATGTCAAAAAGGCTTAACGAAGGTACATAAGCGTCGTTACATTCTTCTAACTAATTACTGTAAACAGTTGAAACGAAACAAAGTTGATTTCAACAGTACGGGCTTCCATACCTAAACAAGCACAAATCGACATTTTGAGACCGAGAACATTTGATTTCACCACTCGAGTCACTATTCAACTTCGTCTCATGAGATTTTTTAACAGAGCGATGATTTCTACCAGAATCCTCGTGACATTCCTATATCTCGTCGTAACAAACATCTTTAGAGTGCAAGAAACATTTGCTCTTCGAACTCTACATATTGGGGGATTTTTTCCATTCAGTGGAGTGTCTAATGGAAGTGAAACCTCAACGAAAGGCGAGTTTATTCAAGAGGCCGTTTCCATGGCTATAGAAGACGTTGACAAGCAAAAGGTCTTACCAACTGGCTATAGTTTACAACTTCACGCAAATGATACAAAGGTAGGCGGTATTCTAACATGAATGTCTTAAGTCTGACTAGAGAAAACACTGTGCTGGCTTCAAGTCACAAATGTAGCATTCCCTTAAGTTATATTCCATTTACAAAATGGTGCCGAATATATAAGCTGATATCACAATAACAGAAAGGTTTGTGGAATGAATTTGCTGTCCTATATCGTTAAAATATAAACTCTGGCTTTGATAAGTGTTTTTACCAACGTCAACAAAGATAGGAACACTTTGTGTTACAAAATACACAAAGCTTGTTATTTCATTTTCATAGATGACAACAAAGATCCTTATCAGTGTAACACCACCGTAATGTATCTTGAATACTTCATCGATCAGGCTGAACTTTGAACACAGACTTTGATGTTTTATCTTATCCTATTCATATCAAGCAGTGTTGTAACTTCAGTAATCCAATAATCTGCTCAGTGTCCATATCATGCTCTACTGTAAACACTCCTAGAGATTGCGATATGTCATTGTCTGATTCATAAGTTTATTAAATGCCTTGTATCAGCCCCATTCTGGGAATGAGCTTCTGTATTTGACGGAAATGGGCTTATTTTTTTTTGACCTCCACTTGAAATTGCCTCAGCATTGCCACTTCCCATCTCGTGTATGAGGTGAACATTGCTGTAGGGCGCACGTGGATTATTACCCTATAATGATCAGCGATCCTTTCTCTCTCTCTCTCTTGCGCCAGATATGAAAACTTATACTCCGATTCGATACCTGTATAAAGTTTCTCTGCTGGGTAAACTTCATATATTGGCGTTGTGTTTACACCTTAAAAATGTCCTCGACCGGTAGAGATTTTCTTGGTTCTCATACCGCGACTACGATAACTAATAATAAACTAATAATAAACTGATCAAAGTAGAAGCTGCCTTCTGATCGCCTGTGAGAGAAAACAATTTCAAGCACTCCTGATGGTTGGTTGCTCACTTTTCAGACGATTTCTAAAACCTCCAAGGTCATTTTTCAAGAGATAAATTGTATGTAATAAACAGAGGAAGGTAAATGGGACCCCCCTTGTAATCAACTTCGATGTTCCGCCTAAAAGGTTCTTTTCTCAGATTAGGAGATGCAAGGGTAAGATTTTAAAAGCCTTAAAAGTATTGAATAGAACAAGAAAAAGATGTCAGTTCGTTTTTTACAGGGTGTTTAGGCTGATCCGTTTTACAGGGACGTAACCAGG